TGGACGATGGTTGAAGACTTAGCCGATGCAAGCCACGAATGTTTATGCGTAGCGTGAAAGCTAGAAGAGCACGCAGCCATAAAAAGGCCAGAAGGACAGGAATATGACGGGAGCGTACGGACCACGGTAATGCTTTAACTAAATAGACACCCCAGCGTGCAGAAAAGCACAGCTACGGAAGAGCACGCACGTTCGAAGCCACGGTAGAGCACGTAGCGATGAGAGTGCACGGACACCAATTCTTCGCAGCACCACGGTAGAACACGGAGCACAGTCGACCGACCAAACATGAAACCGCGGTAGACCACAAACGGAAGATCACCGAGTATTGGAGTACGATATTAGATTAGAACCGGAGCTCACCGAGTCCGACAGCACGATACTACGGTAGCTAGCGATCGTACTGTCGACAGACCAACCACAACACCACAAGTTAGCACGACAGCATAGAATATGTCACTAAACATGGGAGAACGCAGCCGCGTAGCTATAGACGGGAAATCATTGCGTCGCAGAGAACGATTCCATTGTAGAACCTGAGGTTATCGAGCCATATAGGACAGTAGTACATTAGAACTGGATTGCACGGACGGCGGGCCAGCCACGACGTACATTGGGGAAGCGCTTGTGGTGACCACGATTGCACACTGTGGAGCACAAATCCATTGGAGATCATGATAGCACGGGCAACGCAGATGCACTGCGCGAGCACAATACCTCAGACTGCATTACCACACCGGGATTGCACGATAGCATGATAATGCGGTCGATGGAACCTCACCAGGAGAGCACGATACACGGGCGACGTAGTGAGACGACTGCGTAAAGGCTCCAAACCACGGGATAGCGCCCTTTAGCTAGAGTACCTGCGATGGGAGGTCAACGGCCACAAAAGACTATGTACAACGAACCCGGTGCAGCCTAAGAAATCGTTTGAGAACAAGAAAAAGCTAGAAGCTGCGAAACAAGGGTGTACGCAAGAGCATAAATCCAAAAGAGAGAGCGCTTAGCCACTAAGCAGGGTGGGCCACGGATGAGCAGGGAGCCACGAAGCCAGGAAGAGCACGGAAGAGCACGGACCATTGAAGAACACAACATCCAACCTGTAGGACGGGGCAACGAAAACGTTCCAAACCACGATATTATACGGGTCCACATGAGACTACGGAAATGTAAGTAATTAAGTACACGAAGCCAAGATCTGGGTGGACGATGCGCAGAAAACCGCGACACCAAGAAGCACTTAAATTTGCGGTCACCTCATCTCCAATACACCATGCCACTCCGCCGCGTAGCGGCGGCGGCCGGCTAGTACGGTACATCTTATTAAAGGAAATAGTAATGCGAATTGTGTAATGTGAAATTTGGCACAGCCTTCATAACAATATAATGGTTGGGGTTTCAAAATCAACGACTTGAGATGTGCAACCCGAGTACCATTTCATTTTGCAAATCCGAAACCCACCACCTCTTGACCAGGTCCAGAGTCTGGTCCAGAGTCTGGAGGCTCCAGACTTAAGCCAACAGAGCAGGGTTCGCCAGTGTATGTGGAGGAGTTGGCAAGTACAGTACTGCTCCCCGTTTTCGCGCCCTTGAACCTTTGATAAGCTTTCGGATGTAATGATCCTGAATCCAAATGATCTGTTGTTTGTACGCCAAGATATGATTTATTTTCAAATCCTATATGGACCCCCCCCCCCGGCAAAAACGGGGTGCAGTACTGTATGGGGCTTTGTAATCCGAAACATTTTCAAATCACTGGTTCGTATTCAAAAACCGGGCCCTGAGGTCCTGAATTTGTTGTAGGGCTTCGATTACGATCCAGCATTTAATGTAAATGAGTCTAAAAGTCGAAAAAGCCCTGGCCAGCCACTACAGTACATCGCACTGAGGTTCGAAGCCGAGCACTTATTCATGTCAGGTTATCCTTTAAAATCAATGCTTCTGCAGCGATAAGGCGTTCATACAGCCTCTGCACGTTACAGAGTACTTCGCATTATTGCGCATAAATAAAGGCATAAAATGGCGTAGATTTGATTTTTGATTTTGACGCAAAACGTTTTTTAGTTTTTAGGTCATCCTTGAATTTGATATTCCCTGTGTGCCAATCTGGTTACGAACCAGGTTGAAATTCTTCGAAGTACTGTACAGTGCCAACTTTATCTGAAGCTCTATCATCACCAACGGCCTGTTTGGCTTGGTCCACACTTCCTAATTTACGCTCAGCAACACATAGACACCGGCAGCAATACCAACAAGCTCAGTCATACCCCTTTGCTATGGCGTCTTACTCGCAGCAGCACTTGTAGCTGGGAATAATGCGAAACCTGCAACAATTTGAAAACTTCGTCGCTATTACTTAAAACAAAACAGCTTGGATTTGCTTCATATACCTTTCTAAGCTGTTAAGGAAAAAAAAACTTTCACTTTATTTCACGTGTTGAGTGTACGGCGCAAGGCCGTAAAAAACTTTTTTACTTACGAGAAACTGGAGAATATGAGAGCACTTCATTTTAAACTTGAATTGCCAGTACCTGCTTCTCTGTGGACCCTAGTGCTACATGAGTAGTACGTCCAGCCCAATAAGGATTAATAATACTAATCAGTAGTACGTACAGCCCAATAAGTTTTGATATTTTTCATCCCTTACGTACTACTCATGTAGCACTACCAGGATAAATATGCTCGTACTCCATGACGCCAAGATTTAAATGGTTAATATCACTTTGCTTGCGTAAGCAAAAGCTGTTGCGGCAGGACTAGGGATATCTCCCTCGTGCATTTATTATATGATAAACGGCGGTGGGCTGCAAACATCTCTACGGAGCAGTAACCGAAACCATACGGTTAGCTCCGAAAAGGTACGTATACGGAACTGATCAGATTCTAGATCAGATATTTATCTTACTGGAGATCTGACATGGGATCTGAAAATGATTGGTAAGTTCACGCACTTCTTCAGCCTCGAGGCTGCTCGTGCGTTGGTCAGTGGAGAAGATGAATCGAGAGGCAAACGAGGGCGCGTCGGTGGATGCCGAGGTGGAGCCTGCTGAGCCGGCTGCGGGCGCGCCGGAGGATGGCAAAGTGGAGCCAGCTGAGCCGGTCGAGGACGTCGTTAGCACTGAGTTGCTGTTCGAGCAAGCTCGACAGCAACTCGCAAATGATGTGGGGTCTGTGCCACGACGTGGTGAGCGGACGACATGCTTCTACAAGGGCTATAAGTACTGAAAGGCATGGTCGTCCTCAAGGAAAATTGTGTACAGATGCTCTACCAAGGTTGCAGAGGAAAGCTGGAGTTTACTATTGCATCGATGGCGTATGCTGCTGTAAAGCTGCACACATGCCGCACTGAAGCCATTGCCAACGTCGTCATCAACGTTGAGGACCAGATGAAAGCTCAAGCCGACCTTCTTGCGATTGAGCACGTCGCTTGGCCTGTGCGCCAAGTGTGGGAAGAACTGCGACGCCAGTTCTACTCAGCTGACAATCCCAACGTTGTTCGTGGGTTGTCAGAGCAACAAGTTGTCCGACGAGTACACCGAGCAAGAAGCGCGCATTACTCTAGCAATGTTCACGGCTCTATTGAAATTCCACCGCTTTCATTGGCACTAGACGAGGAGCTTTCCTTTTTCCAGTTTCACTACGTCACCATTAACCGCAACGATTTGAACAAGCCTTCCCGCTTGCTTGGGTGGGCGCATCCATCTCTGGTCGCGCTACTACGCTATCATGGTACCACGTTGTTTGTGGATGGCACTTTTCGGTGTGTCCCACAGGGTTACGCACAGTGCGTTGTGTTCATGGTCCACGACCGAGCCTCTGGAGTGTTCGTGCCGGTGTTCTACATTCTGAGCACCTCGCGTACTAACGACGCCTACGGGGATATGATTCATTTGATCGTACAATCAACGGACCAGCAACTCGAACCGGCCGAAATTGTTTGTGACTTCGAAGCACCACTGTTGGACGCACTACAAACACAGTTTCCGAACGCAATTGTGTTGGGGTGCTTGTTTCATCTGAAACAAGCACTCCGACGGGCTATGAAGCGCTATGCTATTCCGGAGGAAGAGTGTCTGATTGCAATGACACGTGGTGTCCTAGACACCCTGACGGTGATTGATCCTGCTCACATCGAGCGAGGTATTAAGTGGGTAAAGCGTGAGATCAAGTTGCGCTATGCTCAAGCTGGCGTGACCTACTCTACTGAAAAATGGGCCGATTTTTGGGGGTATTTCAACCGCACTTGGCTGGAGCAGTATACCCTCGATGTCTGGAACGTATTCGGCATGAACAACGAGTTGGTCGCACGAACGAATAATCCCCTGGAGAGGTTTAACAGGGAGCTTAATACACGTTTCCCAACCCCGCATCCTTCAATGGCGACATTTGTGACGGTGATCAAGGCTATATCAGCTGAGTACGTACGCCGCGTTGCTGATGTTCCTCGTGGGCGAGCCCGCCGTGTTCCTCGCGAGGTCATTCAGCTACCACAGGTTGTGGACATTCCCTCTGACGTTGACAGCGACGTGGATCCTCCACTGGAGGAATCGGAGGCAGTTGCTACACCCGCAGTGGACGGTAGTACACTCACTAGTGCTACGTTGTAGATATGTCCGTGTAGCAACCAGAAGACCTCGGTAAATGCTTCATCTTCTCCCCTTTAAAAGTGTTTTTCTTTGGTTTCAGTCTGTTCATAATTCAGGTCTCAAATCCTGATCTTTAATCCGATCAGTTCCGCATACGTACCATTTGGAAATCAACCAACCATACACTGTTTTGCATGGATTTAAGTGCGATGCATGCTCCAGTACCTGACTACGTGAGGCGTAGTTTTGAAGAAATGAGTTTTATCAAAAGTAGAGAAATTTTAAATTGCAAATTCACTTTTTTATTGACCGTAAGCTTAAATCGATCTCCAATTTCAGTTTACCTTGCTCAATAAACATCAAAAGGATCATCAATTCCCTAATAGTCCCCACTGAATCTTTGTGACACCCTTACTTGCCATCCTTCAGTGCCATGAGGGCTTTCAAGGCCTCTTTCTCTTTTTCAGTAAGATCTTTGACAGCATTGCCGGCCTGTTTCACTTTTTTGACGGAGGCTTTCGATAACTTCTGTATGGCTTCGGTGGCATCTGATCTCTTGATGACATCAACGATGCTGCCAAAACCTTGATCTTCTTCATTGGTCGTCGAGTCATCATCTTCCGGGCCTGCGACTCGAAGAAATCTCTTCCGGGAAACAGTATTGGTCATATCGCTGGCTGCGAAGTCGGGAGAGACCTTCGACAAGAGCTGAGATTCATCGGCATTCGTGAATGCTGCGACGGCACTGCAGCGAGCTAAGACGGCGACGACAAGAACGATGTAGAATGTACTGCGCATGAGTCGGATGGGGCTACGAGGGCACTTGTGGTATTGAGGGCGAAAAGTCAAGTGACTGCCGGCGATCTTTCGTTTGGCCACTGGTCCAGTGGTTAATACACGAACATTGAGGGTTCATCATCATGAAGTCACGATGGGGACGTACGGCAATCATAACCGTCGGTTACAGTAAACACGAAAGCACCATTAGCAAATAGTATACTTTAAAAAAGTGAGCACTACGCCCTGAAGGGGGTAAATACGAGTGCAAATCAAAACGGAGAAGACAAACCAGGGCGAGCGGATGCCAGGTCGCAAGAAGGCCCGTGTCGCATTTGCGCAGGCGGGCCCACCGCCGATCCTTCTAGCGAGCCGGGCATTGCTGTCTCAAGGTTGAGATAATCTTTTTAGTGGAGGAGCGCAGCGATTTGTCGACGACACACCCGCTAGGTATTTTCGGTTTTTGATGTCTAAACAACAAAGTTGCTGTCTTCACAACTTGAAAGAAAACAATGATCAAGTTCTATTCTTTAGCACATATGAGCTCTTTCTGTTCATTCTGAAACTATCTACAGTTTAATTTGGCAGTTCAGCCTGTTAGGTCACAGAAATCCACTCAGGTAACTTTTTTTTTTAGCAGAAAAACAATTGGAGCTATTTTTTCAGTCGATAATTGAAGCGTAAGTAAAGCATAATGCGACCAGATAGCCTTGCAATCTGCATATGTACAGTGTGAACCAGCTTAATCTGAATTTTGGAATTTGGAGGTACATAATTTGCTCTATTTTGACTCAAAATTTTTGAGAGATCTTTATAGTGATAAACATGATTACGAGCACCAAACACGATTGTGAGCACCAAACACGATTGTGAGCACCATAATCATGTCAAAATGTGATTGCTCGAACTAGAGTCGCTGACAGCGGGAATGGACACACAGCGAGTCACTTTGTGTCCATTTCCTGCTGCTCCTGGCGGTACAGACGCGCCAATTCGTCTTTTAAGTCTCGTAGATTACGCTGGGTCACCCAACCTGGGTGTGGACCAGTCGCTGGGAAAGCGCGGCTTTGGGGTGTCACGATCCGCCAGGAGTTGTCGGCTCTCATCACGCAGCATTTGCGTCGCGATATGGAGCGTGTCGTCAATTACGACTCGTCATGCACTTTGTTGCATGATGGAGAGGAGAGCAGACGAGGCTCTTTCTGGTCGTTGCCAACGACTCGTTGGACAGGTCATTTGGGCCAAATTTTAGCGAGGAGCGTGGCTGGTTGGGCGAGCGCGCACGGGGCGACTTGATTTACGTACTCTATGTTCGTGCATGGAGTTGCTTTTTGAATTATGAAACGCAAGATTTATCGTCGTTTCGGGCGTAATGAAATCGACATGGCAGAAAGTCAGTGAATACTCTTTATAAAAACAGCGATAATTATATATATTGTTCTTACAGAATAAACACATTTGGGGGGGCGAATATCGTACTTAAAAGGAATTTAAACTATTACAGTAAAAGTAATTCAAATTTTAAACATAGGATGTCCGTTTTAGCGTAAGACGGACATCCTATGTTTTTCAACAAAATTATATAAAACATGAAGGCGTAAGTATGAAATGACCCAGAATGGATTCAGTGAAACCTGCATTCGTAGGACGGTCGTCTTACGCTTAAAGATCGACTCCTCTTGGAGAAATGTTTTGGCACTCATTTTGCGACGCAAACATGGAGATAACTTCACTCCTGCACCTGGTTCCCGCTGCCGAATTACCCAGTACATGTACTAGTGTAGCGTCAGCCCCTGTGCGAAATGCATAGCACAATCAGCAAGAAAAACTGTTAATTTCTTGAGGATAACTGTGCCGCTAAAGGCGTCTCGCTTTATGTCAAACCTTTATAAAAATGTACTCAATGTTTAAAGCTGTAAATTCACAGTTCGACGGCATCTAATTAATCTTGAACGATCTTGTTTTAGCTCTAAAGTAATACTATTGTATTAGTAAATGAAATATATACAGTGTACTGTAGTAGTTTTAATTCACAAAAAAGTAAAAAAGCATTAAGATTTATAAATTCCTGTTTATGACGATTTTACAATGATTTCCGTAAATGCACTACCTGCTCAACTCTCGGGTATTATTAATTGATTGCAAGATAAGGCGTGGACACTTAAACAAAAGTCGTTCTGTTTCCTCCTCTTACAAACCCTAATGTCTACATAAAGTTGATCCTTGCCGAGTTTGGGACGGACGGTGTTGAGCTGCTTAATCAACGAAAGGTCCGCGAACTTTGGGATCTTGAATAAAGCCGAAAATTGGCCAAGCTGGGGAGTCGGGATCGCCCTCTCTTCGCCCTTGTCACCCAACTCAGTACTTCCTGTAAGATAGCGGTGGCCATCGTTTACGCGTTCGTAAGGTGATCCAATCACCAAGTATGAAGTCTCGACAGTTTTATCAGCACTTACAATTGCTTGCCAGCGCCAGTAGGAAAAACTGTATTCCGCGCATGATTGATTCCAAGTTGCACCTGTCCTGTTCGGGTCGAAATCGTGCGTGCGATGACTGTGGAATTAGTTTAAGAGCCACATTCTGCCGGTTTGCTCCCCTGTCGACTAATCGTCTGAATCAGTTGGAGTAGGATGAGTTTAAATAGGGTATAGCTACAAGCTGCTTGTGATTGCCTCAAGATGTGGATAGGATCTAAAAATTCAGATGTATTTAAAATCGCAACCCTTTGAGGTTTCACATTTGAGACAAATAACAAAATCAGAAAAGTACGCAAATTCCACTAAAAAAACTACTGTATCTGAGTTATTAAGTTCGTATCCAGACTTTGAAGCACCAAGTCACTTCGTGAACATGGCCTTCGCGGCAAAACATATACGTTGAACATGACCGAGGTCAACCTAGAATTTATTGAGCTTTTTTTTACCCTTACACGAACGAAGAGGCAAAATGCCCCTATTGATTTGTCCACGGTACTATCGCTACGACTATAATATTACAATTGAAAGTAAATGTTATGTTAGCAAAATTAAAAAGAGATAGTAAGGTACTACCCAGCTAAATCATTGTTAAAAAAAGATATTATTACTACAGCAATTTCAATGAAATCGTGGCTGTCGCTCGCATGCATGTTAGCTCGGCACAACATCTATTTGCATGTTTTGCTGTGCTTGTTCGCAATCATCAAGTGTTCGCCACTGAGATCAATGCATCCAGCTCAACACTGGCGCTTTTCTAGTTTCTCGCTCTGCTCTCAGAAACGCTCATCGCGCTCACTGTTGCTGCGGTGAAAGTAGTCGATCGTTTGATCAAGGAGTACTTAAGCATTTATGAGCTTCGTCCTGGCTTCGTCTTTTGAGCCTTGAGGCTAGCAAACCCACCAACGCACCAACGACGTCTGCATACGCGCTCCAGCAGCCTTTGTCAAAGCTTACTATCATTACTTGCAACGCTTGGTACCAAATCGACTCATGAGAGCAAAGCGTGTAAGTGACTTGAACCAACTATGGATGCTACACATACACTACAAAGAATGATACTTATATCAAATTTTATACAAAACTCAAAATGTTATGATAAGTTTGTTAATCTCGTTGAGGAAAAGCTACTACAATTTCCGTATTCTACTACTAGTTCACGATGTAGCGAAACGTTCTGGACCATTTCCTTATATATCCTTTGGACCTCCCTTCGAATGATTTCTTCAAGCATGACAGGCCGGCGCAAGCGAAGCTTAGAGAGTGCACTTGTAGACTCAAGCAAGCGCACGAGACCTAGGCGAGGTTCAGCGGCGTGTGGAGCAGAGGGTACAACTCAATTCGATAATTCGATGTTCTTCAAAGCCGTTTAAAAAGAGCTTCGCGAGGAAGAATGGACCTCAAAGCGACCCCCAAGAAATGCGCTGTACTCGTTCTATCGCTGCATTCGCCCAGGATCGGATTTAAAGAGCGAGGAGGATAAAGCTTTCTTCGTAGGAGAAGAAGCACGGCTAGCTTTTATCTACGTAAAATTGCTTTATCGCCAGCCACTCGTAAGTCGCTATGTCTTATATAAATATTGACCCGATTGCTTTTGTCTAATTAAACGCTAGGTATCACCCACCCATGTCATCATTCGTACAATGAGCGGTAAAGCAAAATGTCAGCCACAAATGCTGCAAATGCGGAATTCGGAGGGTGTTTTTAGCTGAAGAAAGCACTCTTAATGGATATACGATGGGTAGCAAAGGTCTAGACACCGCCAAACAGGTTGCAGACGCAGAAGAATGGAGTATTGTGATGGTAATTGACAATAGCGAGAATGGGTACCTTAGTTGTGTATCTAAAGCGCACACACTTATTGGATGCAAGCGGACGCAACGCAACACAACCAAGTTAACGTTAGTGCTGACAGCACGGATGATGCTACAATGAATATTGTAGCCGCTATGGCAAACGAGGACATCGAGGATCGTCGGTCAGGTAAGTACATACATCAGTAGCATTTAGCATCGAGTTTTATGCTGTCGTTATGACAAGAATTTTGTTTTACAAGTTATAAATGAGAATCATCTACTGCTAGCTCTCGCGGGGGGATTACATCTATCGGCAACCAGTTGGAACCCACCATGGACGAGATTAATACAAGTCCAGTATCAAGAAGTGCCACCGGGGTGCTAGTATGTCTCCAACACAGCCGACAATACTTCGACAGTACAAGATAAGTGGCGGTTGCTTAGCTACAATCGCCTCCGCCGCCCCACAGCAGTTTATTCTTACACTTTTACATCAGGAATTTATCGCTTGAAAAGTCGTTTGCTACCACTATCCCCTCTACTATCGCACAGACCAGCTGGTAGACCATCAGTTGCGTGTGTCCCCTCACTTTATGTAAACACGTTGGGTGCGTCCTCTCTGCCTAATGAAAGTTGGATGAGAGACAAGGTTTACAAGAAAGTTGGATGAGAGACAAGGTTTACAAGAAAGTTGGCGCGGCTTATATAGTCGGACGGGTATGTTGCACTGTGAAACCTAAACCGAATCCAG